GTTGGTAAAAAGGAGATGTAGAGCTGGGTGTCATCAGCATACTGATGACACAGCGCTCCACACCCCCTGATGACCCCCGCTAGTGGCCTCATATAGATGTTAAATAGCATTGGGGAGATAATCGACCCCTGTGGAACCCCACAGTTGGAGTTCCACGGGGCCGAGACACTCTCCCCAAGCTGAACTCTCTGGGGACGGTCCTCCAAGAAGGAACGGAGCCAGGCTAACGCCAGGCCACCGAACAGATTGAAAGTTATTTTCCTATACCTGCTACAAGTGTTCAAAACAGAGTGTGTCTTTGCAGAGTACATCTTTCCCTTTAACAGTTTAATTAGGGAAAAGTAATATAAAAGGAGGATATCAGAATTCAAAAAGAAACTGGATAATGACTATATTAAAGCTGTCAAATATAATCCTTTAGGACTGGGTAGTTCTACTACAAAACTCCAGTAAAATTCCTGAATTATCATCAGAAGGAAAAACAAATGTTCTTAAGCAAGGCAAAACAGTTCATTTGAGAGCATTCAGTATTGCACACTTCATCATCAGGTTCTTTCATCACTCCCATTAAACCCACAGCACAAATATTTAGCAACATGGGAAGAGGAATGCAGCTCTTCTGAGTAGAGTGGAAATCTGAATTTTGTCCATATTTGCAGTCAGTTGGAAAGTGACAGAATTGGCGGATGCACCGGCCTATGGAGGAAGAGGAATGGCAGGGGTTGCAAAAGGTTTCTGGAGAGCAAACTAAGGCATGTCTGAAGGACGATTAGACAGGATGAGCCATGGGGAGTTCCAGTGTGATGCTTAGGCCCAGGATTTTAGGAGACTAGGATGTGGATGCCACATGGATTATGATTAATATGTTTTCCCAAATAAGCTTTTAATACAAATATTTGGTGCATCTGGCATTTCCTTTGTGGAGAACTTGGCCTTCAAGGCTTTTTAGTACTTCTATTTTAAAATTTTGAATACAAGTAATTATAAAGAGGTGCATTCAGTGGTGTTATTCCACTAGGACAAGGCTTTTAATATCTGCAGAAATTGTATTTACATCCTTGTAGAGGGGCCCAATTGGATACTTTGCTTCTGCTTTTGCAAGATGCTTCATAATCCCTTCCATACCTCATTATGTCTTCTTTCAGCTGTGTTGCACTGTACAGGTTGTGCTTGCTGTTCTGTTAGTAATTGTATTACTACTAATGGAATAACATCAATGTTTGCCATTTTATTGCTAGTCTGTCCCAGGGTTAATCCACAATATTTTTAAAGTCCACTATACAATGCACTAATTTGGCTGTGTTAAAATAAGAGCTTATTCTTAAACTATTGGGGAGCACTTTAACACTTCTTAATATAAAACATTTCAAGCTGCATTCAGCAACAGCTTGGGAAGTTGTTATTTGGGTCAGTGTGTTCCATGTTTAAACCTTGTGCTTACAAAACACTAAAAATATCCTCTTCTTGAATATACGAGGCTTAAGTGTGTAATAAATATTTTATAAAAGCCTATTCCAATCTCCAGTCCAACAGTTCATAGTTAATTTACCGTAGAAACATTTTTTAACATTTTCTAAAAGTGTGGATTGTTTGACTTGGGAAGTTGTGCTAAGTAGCACTTGATGGTTCTGTTTTATTATCCTGATGTTGCATAACATAGATGGTTTTGTTTCTCACACTTTCACAGAATTTCAAGTAACCATGGGAGCTACTGGGTCATTCTGTAGATTTTTTTTAAAGTGTCGGGGAAGAAACTGGCTTAAAGCCTGTTGACTAGCATTAGGGCAGGTTGTAATTTTTGATCTGTTTCTTTCATATTTCTCAGGCCATTTATGAACATCACACCCAATCAGGGTGCATGCATGCCCTTGTGGATCATAGCAGGGATGGTTTGTTATCATGGAGGAATGGACCAAAAGTTACAACTTGGCTCATGCTAAACAACAGTATTTTGGCCATGGATTCATTAGTGCATGGGTAAACCTTTTTTTTAAAAAGGCATCTGGTGCTCCAAGTCTGACATTGAAACATACATGAAATCTTAGGGAGGCAAGGGAGTATTCTTGAGATTTATCAGTTACACCATAATCCATTTGTGCAAGAAGTTATTTTGTCCACATTCTCTTTCTTCTCTTTTAGCTCAACAGCAGGGAGAGATTGCAGGCTCTTCCACTTTGGAATCCAAGTGCTTCTATGTGTTTCATCTGTCATACACTTCACCAAGATTTATTCAAGGATTTTTCAAAAATGAGAACAGAGCATCAGCTAAGACTCTATAAAACAGACACAGTATTTAAATAGTTGAATGAATGAAAGTTATTTTTTGTCTGATCTCTGTAAGGTTCATGCCAGGTATGTTTCCTTGATAAGAGAAGTACACAACTAGGATGACAACTGAGAAAGCCCTATCACTAGTTGGCACCAACCTGTCCTTCAGTATCAGACAGACTTGGAAAACTTTTTGCAGACCATTTTAGCAACTGGGCAACATGATATGGATGTACAAGCTTACATAAGTGTATGTGGGTCCCAAGCAGTTCATGGCTTGTGACAAACAGATGAAAACTTCAAAATGTGTTCTGAATTAGTTCCTCCATGTAGTATGTTATCAAAGACTGAAACTCACCCACAGAAGGTGTAAGCCTCTCGAGATACTGCTTGTCTTCAAGAGTACGCACAGTAGAAATTACTTTGGCTCCTCTGTGTTGTGCTAACTGAATAGCTATGGTACCAAATGGCTGCAAGAGAACAAGCATGTATGTCCAGTAAATTTATATATATATGTAATGTACTTTCTGTTTCGATGAAATAAAATATAAGCTTATGCTCTGAATAACTTAACTGCCAACTACATTATGATCCGTCTGGATGATGTCTCCCTCTTGCCCCAGTACTCTTAACTCTGAGAGGTCTATGGCTCACATGCCCCTTTGGCTGCTCTTCTGCCATTGCAGGCAGCAGAAAGTAAGTCTTTACCATTTTCTACATGACAGCCTATCAGGTATTCAAGATGGGCTATCATGCCTCCTTCTCAGTCTTCTCTTGAGTGACAGGAAGGGGGGAAGAACCGAGATTATGGTAGGGAAGTAATGGGGGGGGGAACAGAGTTTGTAGTGGGGAACCAATTACAGGAAGGGAGAGAAGAAAGGGTCTTAAAGCAGCAAGGAGGAGAAAGATTTTACATATAGGGTCAAATAGACGTAACCCAATATAGAAAATTGGTAAGATGAGATACTCCCAATCAGGATGCCACACTCTAAAATGGAAAGAAATCCTCTTTCATGGGATTTTCCATTCATGTTAAATCCTGAAAACCCATCTCTAATTATAAGCCCAAGATTTTCACATATACTGCTGCAAAGCCAGGTATCTTTCCATCTGTTATATGGGTATTTGTATTTCCTAAATGCAGAATGTGTCTGAATTCCCTTCTGTTGGCTTCAATCAATTTTTTCATTCTATCAAGGTCATTTTTGATTGATAAGTTTTTGTTAGTGTAGCTAAGGGACTAAACCTGCAGTTGCACGAGGCTGCAGTTACAATTAACAGGATGCTGCAGAAAATTAGTAGAAAATGGTTTCCCTTTGTGGGATGATGTGGAAAATAAGGGCAAGGACTCAATTTTAATATATCGAATGTATCTAAGAAAATGTTTCCTAAACAGTTTTCATAATATGCCATTAAAATTTCATTTCTTGTACAGTACTCACAGTCGCACCATCCATTATTAGCACGGTTTTTCCAGGAGAGACATAGGAAAGGTAATGTAGAGCTGTGTACGCACGAACACCATCACGAATAGTCCCTGCTGATTCAAGCCAGGATATTTTTTCTGGTTTATGAGCTGTTTCAGAGAGGGAAGTAAAACATTAAAAGATTTTCAAATGTTTCAAGCTTGCTTTTGTTTACTATTTGTTTTGAAATGAAATGATCTGATTTTTTAAAAAATGATTCAAATATCATAGAAACATTTAAATGTAAGTTTAAAACTATTACATCTACTTATAAATCTGTTTGCCAGTGTAAGTGTTAAATAGATTTATAGCATATCTGATTCACTGTAATATGGTAAAAGTTAGAATATAAACATTTGGAGAAATCATATTGTTATTTTAAATTAATTAATAAAAGAATTGCAATTATTTTGTGGTAAAAAAGTATAGTGCTACGGCAGAGTTCAAAGTATGCAGGCAAAAAATTATATGGTGTAAATAGTATCACTTTTAATAATGGGAATCCTATGAACCTTTTCAGAATTGAGAGTAGATTCAGTTGAAGGTGTCTGAGGCCAATGGGAGTGATGAAGAAATAAATGCGGAAAAATTGAAACTTTGTCCTGATAAATCAAGAGATCTGAAGAGTTACGCTGCCATTTCTTGGGAGGTTAAAGGATTTACTGGATCACCTTCTCCAAAGGCCATCACAGAGAATGTTTCAATTTAGATGTCCCCTTCCAGGCCTTTAATACAAGAAACCCCTGCAGCTCTTACTTCTCTGGTATCAGAAAGAGAGACAAGGAGGAAAGGTGGGATGGATCAGTGACTATGCTTGGAGAGGATGAGGCCCCCCACGGTACTCCAAGTTACAGCTCTGCCTGTAAATGGAGTCTGAACTATGCTATCCATGAAGGTACTACTAGTTTTAATGAGAGGGAATTTGTCAGTAACAAAGTGAGAATAAAACCTGCCAGAGAGGGGAAAAAATGGATATGATGCTATTCACTCATTTCTCCCTTGCTGGCATAAGACTCAACAGCTTTCGATGCTTCGGAGATTCTAAGGGCAGAATTCTCTGCAGCTAACACTAGGATTGCTCTGCTTTCACAGCATGAAAGTAGCATAATCAGAAATAGATCTTTGATACTCATGCAAAGTGCTAAAGAAGATTCTTTTAAAAAAACCCAAAATATTGCTGTACCTTGAGTAAGTTATTTGCAAGTACGGTTAAGTCAGTGAAGTAACTTGGCTGACCATATTCATAAGTTTCATTGTTTATGTCAGGATCAGGATCAAATTTCTACTAGATCACCTTTCCTGGAGATAGTTTAAGGTCTCCCATGTTACTTGGGAGAGGAACATAGCGTTACTAAATAAACACTGCCTTCTTCCCCATCCATTCTCCCTACTACTTATATAGTTGAAAAAATTAGGAAAATTGTAATTATATTAAAAATTTAAGTAACTTGAAAGAGTGAATCTCGACAGCACAATTAGATAAGGAAGCAGAAGGAAGTTTCAACTGAACATGTATCTACAGCTGGGCACAGACATGTATGTAGTGTTCAGACATTTGTACTCAATACGTATGCAAAGACAAAAATGCTACGTTCTCTGCTATTATAAGATTACTACTATTATTTCAAAACTAGTTCTGAAACTATTATATCATTCATCAGTGCAAAATTAAAAAGGGGTACATTGGTAGATCCCCTTCATCCTGGGGAAGCCTTTTGGGCGCCTCAGGATGGGGGGCAAAACTTTAATGTATGAAAACTGCCACTACTGCCAGTCCTGCTGTGAGTTTATGCTTTATTGTGTCAGAAGTGTTTATATTTATATGCTAATTTACTTGATCAATTGATTAATTCATTCCAAGTAGAAATACATCTCATGAGATGATGCCTGCCACAACATATGCATGCATCATGTAAAAACAGAGCGAATGACCTTCTTATTCAGAAGTATTGTTTTTACCCACATACAAATTTTATTAAACAACTGATTAAGTGACTAAAATATCCGATTAATCAGTAAAGATTTTTTTAAACTGGGAGACAGTTCTAGTAAGGTACAGTAAGTGTATGTAATCCAGATATTTATGGACACTTGCTAACTTCTTTATAATATGAAAGGTAAACAATCTAGTAAGATCCTTTAGCATGCCAAAGGACTTGCATTAATGTAATACAAGTGACATTTTTTGAAAAGTAATCTCCTATTCACTATACACTTTCTGCTATCTCTTACTTCGTAGTAGCTGTCTGGATTTCTCAATGGATTAGGTAATTGGTGATGGAGCCAGAGGTTGGGAGTTTGATTCCCCACTGTGCCACGAGGGAGAAGGGCCAGCCTGTGTACTGATGGACAAGCTGCACAGTCCCACGGTACCCCAAGAAGGAGGGAATGGACAAACATTTCTGTATATTCTCTACCTAGGAAACCCTGGAAAGGGTTGCCATAAATCATAATTGATTTAATAGCACACACAATTACTTTGTAGTGAGTACTACTAATAATAAATGCACTGTCATAGTATGCAGTTCAAATATCCCAACAAAGACCACTTTTTTATCCAGCAAGGGAAACAGACAAAACTGAAAGGCCTGTGATGTCTGTTGGTGTAAACAGACTGCTAATGTGCATTCTACATTTGCACTGCAATATTCATCCAAGCCTCAGTGTCTAGGTAGATGTAACTTTTATTGCAGATAACAACATGCTTCTCCACCTTGATAACTAATTTAACTACCATTACGCACCTACACATAGCAGCCTGGAACATATCTGGCTTCACCATATAAATAAAATGACATGAATACTTTGTTAAATGAGTTCCTAATTAACTAGCTCTATGCAGCAGTTCTTCCAAAGAAAACTTGAAGGCTTAAGAATGAAAGATAAAGGCTGAAAAAATGCAAAGCGCAAAAGATGGGTGAAAGTTTCTTTTAGAAATCCTGAAATGTTGGGAGCTTCAAGGTCATCCTGCAGAAAGAACTGACTGAACTAACAAGAGAAGAAGTTTAAGAGAAATGGATGAGTCAGCTCTTGGGGGTCTGAGCCTGAACATCAAGTTGCTTAATAGTATGTTACAGTTATTGTTTAGGAAAAATCAAATTACACAGAACTTTTAAGACTTCAGAGTAGGGTAATAAACTTTCAATGATACTTGGACATTGTTCACTATCTATAAATTAAACAGAAGTTCTAGAAGTAATTTTTAAAAATGTTACTTTAATTCAATTCTCCTGTGTTTGTTAATAGAAGATACTTACTTAAATAATGCTCATGAACTAGAACTACTTCACATAAACCAGACTCTTCTGAATCCAGTGGCAGAATGCCTATGAAATTTAAACAAACAAACAAACAAACCAGTTCAAGCCAAGTATATTTGCAGATGTGGAACAAGTAGTACATTTCTAAGCTCAAATACTACATTTTACATTTGGCATCTTTTAGTTCTATGTTATGCAGCTGCAAGAGATACAGCTTGGGAACATTCTGTATGCCCTGCCTTGAGACTCTCTGCTGCAATGATAACAGGGGAACTCAGGATCATGCCTTCACTCCCCCCCTCCCTTTAAAAAAACATGTTTGGAAAAGGAACCAAAGAAATGTATTCATGTTATGTCTGAAAGGAGATCTGATTAAAAGGCATTGTAAATCATAGTTAGTAAATTCTTGAAATTAACTTAGATTATGCCCATTTTTTGGAAGCTTACTCAAAAGTGTATTCAAAGTCTCATGTGAGTTCTTAAGAAATCAGTATTAATTAGGCTTCCTAGGGGAGAGAAAGATCAGGGTTCTTGGTTTCACAACAACATAAACAAATCAAAAATTTAAGATGGTTTCTATAGATACTCTCTTTTGTAGTGGGAGCAGTTAGGTAATGTGCACAAGCATGCTCCTCGTAAAAGATGAGTGAGGGTTAATTCAGAATCCTAGCTTATCATTATGTGTGAACCAGGGCACAGTGTTGAGAAGCTAAAAATAGTACCCTGAGCTGCTTTGAGGAACAGTGGGAGATAAAGGTTACAAATAAATAATCCCATGTCAACAGTGCTTCCATTAGCTTTTAATCATTCAAAGACTTGAAAGGAAACTTTAGCAGATGGAAGGATGGAAATAATGTTGTTCTTATTGAACTATCCAAAATCAAGTGTTAACTTATCATAAGCACAGGAGTTGTTGAACATATGCTTATATTCTAATGCAGTTCCAATAGTTGAAAAGCTTCAGCAGCTGGAATAAAACTGCAACTTACCCACCACTTCATCATGAGGCTGGAAAGAGGTTACTTTATGTCCAACTTGGGGGGAAATGAACAAAATTAAAGTACTTAAAAAACATACCCAAATAATCATTAGCAATATATAGTCTTCTAGGTGTACATACTGATCTCCCATAGGATACTAGTAGTCTGACAATAAGGGTTATGGACATACGGTAATACAGTCAATAGAAAAGCAAAGCAAATATTCTCTTTTCAGCAGAGCTAGGAGTCTGCTCCAGTAGACCAAGACAGGTTGTAATTTGTGGTGGTGGGCTGAAGTCTGTGTTTCTTGGAAGGAAAGATTAGTGAAAGGAAAATGCCATCAAGTTGAACTTTGAATTCTACTTTCATGAAAGACCTATCTTTTCTCGTGGATGTCTTTCTGATCCATAAGCAGAAAGCAGCACCCCTACAGAAACGAATCTACAGGGCAAAGAATGCCAATGGGCTCATGCAAATCAGAGATATCACAAAGCACAGTGAAATGCAGTACTTGCAAGGTCATTGCCAGCATAACTGACAGAACACTTTCTGACCTAAAACTATCACTTCTTCTGAGCTAATGACTGTACTGGTTTCATATCCTGGTTTGTTCTCACAAACAACAGTGGGGGTGGGGGTGAGTGAGACAGGTCACAAAATTCAAACTACAGTGCTCAGCTGAGGCTAGACACAGATATTAAAGATGACCTGTAACTAAAGCTGAGAGCATGTTAACATTGTACAAAGGTGCCTGAGGTGGTCCTTCCAGGTTTGCGAAATCAAACTGGAAAGAAATCCTAGAGGCAAGAAGCTCATGCTAGGATATTCAGACACTCACATTAGTTAAGCATTTCCCTCAGGCACTCTTTAATGCTGTTTTTGGCCTGAAGAAATCAGGAATGGAAGCTTCCGATATCCTTCTTCCCAAATGTATGAAAAAGGAATGGAGCAAATGAGCCTGAAGCACTAGGGGTTCATGTTAAAAATGAACTGCAGATTCATTGGTTTGGACCATGACCAGAGAGTTCTCAGGTGGTCCATCCTGTTGAATTCCCTTCATTAAAAAAAGTCAGCGAGGCAAGCCAATTTCCTCTTTATAATAGACTGCTCAGAATATGAACCAATTTTGTCAGATGCTGAAATTTGGTTTTATGAAGCATTTTTCTGTAGCTTTTACTTATATTCTTGAGGTTGTGCCTGCTTAGTTGTTTCTAGGGCTGGATTTTGTTTTAGCCTTGATTGTTTTCCATTGTCTAGAGCAGTGGTCCTCAACCTTGGGCCTCCAGATGTTCTTGGACTTCAACTGCCATAAATCCTGGCCAGCAGAGGTGGTGGTGAAGGCTTCTGGGAGTTGTAGTGCAAGAAAGAAACGCCCCCTTGAGCCATTGAGGAAGTTATCATCGCCCCCCTCCCCGCGGTGATGATATCTTATTATTTATTTATTTATTTATTTATTTATTTATTTATTTATTTATTTATTTATTTATTTATTTATTTATTTATTTATTTATTTAAAACACTTAAATCCAATGACCTCTGAAAACAAAATTCAATTGCAAGAAAATGAAATGCCCCCAAAAAGTACCATTTAATGATTTAGTTGCAAGGGAATTTTAAGACGCAAAAAGAAATATAAAAAGGGTATAAAAACAAACTGCAGTGCAGGAATTACAAATTTCAAGACGAAAACTCTGAAACTAAATTAAGATTGGAGGAAAATATATATTCATGCACACTGTAAAAAGGCTGCAGCCATCTTCACAGGTGTGGCTTGCTCCAGTGCCCACCTATCGCCCCCTTCTGCTCCAGCGCCCCCACGCTGCCCCATTTCGTTCTACCGCCCCCCTGAAAAATGAAATCGCCCGCTGGCGGGCATTATCGCCCACGTTAAGAACCACTGCACTATGCAACCATATTCGCAAGGCAAAAATAATGATACATTTTGAAAACTCTTACAAGAGGAGGAAAATATTGTTTCCCTACTAAGATGTCACTTTGGTAAAGCAATGCATTTTGGGAACGCATCAGTTGTTCCTTGGTCATTAAGGAGCAACCCTGCTAGTGTCTACACAGTCCATTTTGGGTTTGTTCTCTGGTTACTCTTTATGCTATTATGTACCTTCAAGTTGCAACCAACTTATAGTGACCCTAGTATGTGAGCTATCTAAGGAGTGGTTTTACCAGTTTCACAATCCTAATGATTTTCCATGGCATGTAACAAAATGTTAGGTGAAGATTGCAGAACATAGATATCAGTTTTATATAGAAAAGATTAATGGTTCAATGTTGTACAGTTCAAATAATATTCATCTCCAAAAACAATGCTATGTATACTCACCTTCCAAAACAACACCAGCAATTTCCCTTCCAACAGGAAGAAATTCCTTCTTCAACTTGATATCTGTTAAAAGCTAATTCAATTAACAGTCAGAATGTCTAATGTCAAGGTTAACATAAATACATGTTACAACAGTAAACTGCTATCATGGCTTTCTTCCAGACCATTTTTAAAATAGCCTTCAGTCCTCTGATCACTCAAAATAATAAGATGAAAATTTTGAATCAGAGAGAGGAGGAAAGCTGGACCAGTTATTAGGAAATAAACAACATCAAACTTCAAGAGTTACTTCAAAGTAATTAATGGGACTGGGCCATAAATCTAATATCCTTAACAATATAAAACTGGATGTCACACAAAAGCTTAATACTAGATGTGCAGTCTATTCTAAATATTTAAAAAATCATTTTGCCTAGAAAAATGTAATCAAATATTTGAGAATTTCCCAAGCATTTATAATCCTGGATGTATTTGCACTGATAAAATCCCTATATTTTCAATCAAATTATTTAAATATTATGAAGTCTTGGTTGAGCTCCTGTGGGTGCAATTCGCCAGCACAACAAGAATAACACAATTGGCAGCGACAGACTGATACAGAGTAAAGGGTTTCATTAGTGATTTTGGGATGCATATGATTTCATGACATTGTTTATGAGCTGTGTGGGTCCCAATATTGCAAAAGGAAGCCTTTAATCAGTGGCGACCTGTCACTGCTGATATCATCATTCCCATTGCACAGGCAGAGGAGTGTAACAGGATTTCAGCCAACCTGCACTTACAACTTATTTCTATTAATTTTGAAAAAATCTTGCCTTATTTTCCAGGTAATTGAGAACAGTTTCCTCAGACATTAGTCTCCACAGAATTAAATGGGACACATTCCCTGACATGTACTTAGAAAACTGCAGCACAAATGGTCCATGTTCTAGTTTCAGAAGTGACCAGTCTCAAATAAAACATGTGCACACTAACAAATAAAACAAAATTTTATTCACATCAGTTTTAAATTTTCATTTTAACATGGTGAACTAAAAGCATGTAATAAACTTGAGCAATTCAACAGCAGTAAATAATGCGCAGGCTTGTATGCTACACACAGTTTTAGATATACTTTACATACTGTAACTCTGATCTTACAACAGATCAGATATGTGCTGCTCAACTGATCTTCACAGGACTAGACAAGCACCCAGGGGGGTGGTTAAATTTTAAGTGTGGGCAGATAGCACTCACTTAAGCTGCTATTAGAGGCAATTTACATGTAATAGAAGTTATAGGGATGGCATCTGAAACAGCCTCTACGAGATTGCGGAAGCAGCCCCAACATGCAAAGCAGTTCACCACAAGGATTTCTCCTATTATGTACAAATTCTTCATATCAATTGAAAACATTCCTGGTGGTGGAACAGAAATTCTGTATACAAAGGAGACAATTCATGTGATAAGCTGTTCTATCCATTATGTTATCATTTCTTGCACAGAGAAAAGTTATTTCGAGCAATTTTAAACTGAGCACTGTGACCTGTAAACCAACTGTTCTGCCTTAAGATTTTGTCTTCCTCATCCATATTATATTGATTTTTTTGGCGGGGGGTAAAATAGATCTCACTAAAGTGGGAGTAGAATTATTAGGCCAAAGTATGAATTGAATATAAACTTGCGAAAGACAATAAATAATGGAATCACCTTTTCTCATAAGGCTGCAATTCTAAACATACTTATTTGGTACTATATTCCACTAAATAAAGGGAACCTTGCTTCCAACTAAAATACCTTTAAAAAAGGACTGTGACACATGTAGTTTCTACTTATGCATAAAAAACTGCAACAAACATGAGTTAAAATTATTTTTATGTATTTGTATATGCTGACAGCAGACTCACAGGAAGAACAAACACATCTCAACTTTCTATTAAAGTAGCATAAATACCTTTGTATCAATCCGGCTAAGAGCACAGGCTTTAACTTGTACTTTCACATAGTTGTCTCTTGCAACAGAAAAGTTATCCTGCAGTGGATTGATATGAAACACACCTTATAGGAACATATACAGTGTGTTGCATATTGTTTATGTATACAATAAATCCAATATTTTCACTATAAACAGGAAAAACAGGAAAATGTCATGATCCAAGGAAGTTGCATAGGCATAAAGAAAAACAGATGCAACTGAACGTTTCTTTAGAACGTCCAACATACATGGCGACCTTGCTGAAGAAACAAGCTATATTACAATTTATCATGCAACATATATATTTTAGCAATACTAGTAGCCACAGAGGGGATCATGTTATATACCAATAAGGTAATAAATCCTAAGTGGCACCTCTATTAGGGGAAAGCAAATACTGTATGGTGAGAAAACTATCTGGAATAAACATATAGTGGTGAGCAGGGATCGCTTAACCTATCAGTTGACATGGTCTACAGATGGGGAGGCTCAAAAGGACAGGGGATTAGCCTTCTAAATCCACCATGGGCAACACCCTATCCCATAACAAATTGACCACTGCACCATTGAGAAAAATTCACATTTTTGTTTCCATACATTTTAGACCTCCCCATATAAAATTTTGCATGCAATTAATTTTATTGCAGTAGAAGTAGATGTTCTTCAGAAAATCATTTTTAGACTAAGTTCATGGATCCTATGTAAACCATCCACGTACTGCAAATTAAAAACACATGCATGATTAGATGGTATTCCTTAGGAAATATTTTATAATGGGAGCAAATGGAACTCAAAATTACTTAAAGTCTGTTTGGGACTCATTGCCAAAAGAATAACAAGTTAACTTGGCTTTCATGCACTGTAGTCTTTCTTCAGATGCATGAAGTATAGCTTCAGCAGACAAAAATTTAGATAAACATGGGGAGGAGGGAAATATGAAATGTAAGGAAAATGCAGAAGGTACAGCATGAGGATGGTTTTATCAGCAGTGGTTAAGAGTCACTCGCTGTCCTCAATTTAAATGTAAGGGAGCATTGATTTAAGTAGCATTCTACTGCCAAGTAATTTCATAAATCTCATTTTTACAGTAACTTTGGCATATTAAAAACTAATTTACATATACTGTAATTTGTTGACCCATTGCGTTTAAACCTTATCCTTGTTCAGTTGTTGCCATTAGGGTTTTTCATTTTATTGGAACAATGTTTGCTATTGGTTGGAGTGGGACTGGGAGATCTTTTACTCTTTGTGAACTGCCCAGAGTAGTGGCCCGCCTATAAATATAAATGCATCATATCAGTACAGTATTATAATCAGAGGTACTAAAAGTTTAGCATATTTAGAAGGATTCTTTCTTCTCTCTGGATTACAGTAGCCTTATTCAGTCATTCTGAAATCCAGAATTATGGGGCTGGGGTGCAAACAGCAGAGATTTCTGCTTGTGTGTAGGAAAATTTCTACATGTCAGCAAGACCCCTGGAAAATCTGTCTTATTGCTCATGGATAGAGACTATGTAAGAGTCAGTCCCTTCTCCTCTTCAAATATTTAGCTGCTTAAGTGAGTAAAACAATGAGGGCTGGGGCTTGGCCAGTTTCTTCCCGCGTGACTGCATCACGCCGTCCCTGTCAATAAGTGGACACCCTCCCGGTCCCATAAAGCCACCGGAGTCGAAGCTGGCAGCCTCTGCTGCCTGAGATTGCAGCAGTCGGTAAGCGTGCTTGGAGCGGGGCTGCGGAGGATGGCTAGGGCTGCCCCCCACATGCGGCCCAAACCAAATTTTCATCTTCTAATGTGGCCCAGGGAAGGTGAAAGGTTGGACACCCAGAATGAGTGAATACTGCCAATGTTGCAACTGTATCATTCAATGTGTTGTAACTCTCTAGAAGAGTCACCATGTGTTGTCAGCAGTAAATTATATTAATGCAAACCAATACACAGAACCTACATATGTACATCTCATTTCTGCAGAAACATGATATTCAGTTCCTCCAATTTATGCAATTAGTTTCCACACTGTTTCGGATCCAAATCATGTTCTACTCTGAGAAAAGCAGTTTGTTTTACAAACAAATCCATTCTTCTTTTACGCTATGTAGAAAATAGGTGTGATAATGTAAGTTTAAATGCAAAAATATTTGTTGTATAGTTCCATTAACTAGCAATTTAATTTAGGTCTATGACTAAGTTCATACCCAGGACTTGATGACTGGGACTATGCTTCAAATTAATATGATTCCTGCCATCCTCGTGTGGTAAGATTCAATGGTTCAGTGAAACTATAATTTATCACTATATCTGAAACAGACAAACTTCCATAAAAGGTCTGGATATTCACCTCAATCCAATTCTGGTTTGACTTTTCCTTTTAGTAAATAAGTTTCCAATCTACATTGATTGAAACTCAAAAGGACATACTCTGGAGTAGAAATGTACAGGATTGTGTTACCTTTTCAAGGAAGATAAAACTTGCTTCTTCTCCAGATGAATTCTGTTGCCAATATAAGCCCTTCATAATACCTTTTAAAATATAGGCAAATAAATGAAATAAGTAAATATAAACAAGATTTATAGACAAACTTCAAAGCAAATATTTGATATAAATATGCCAAATAGAAATGGCAAAAAAGGAGAATATGGGCTTGAGAAATAAATTAATGGATTATAAACAAAATCTATCTCACAATGAGTGCTTCTGACAGATGAAAAAATTATTCAAAGAAGGAGGCTGAAATTTCATAGTAAGTTGCAACTAGAGTAGGCCCATTGAATCAATGGGGTTTATGGAGGAGCTGACTTACTAAATCCACACTTATTTAATGGGCCTATTCTAGTTGACTAATACAGTACAGTACTAGATTTTAAAACTTCATTTTGTACAATCTTATTTGTACCATTTTATTTGAAAGTTATGCTGCATTGTTAACATTAGTTCCACAGAAAAACATATCTCCTTCTTTGATGACACTTCATTAAAAGAAAAATTAGGAATACATTTAACACTTTTTTTCTTATTGCTAAAGCTTGATTTCATATTACTAGCAAATTGTTTATCCACAAAAGGAACAGAATGGAAAGGAACAGAATGGAAAGCTTAGTGCTTTTCAGACCATGTTCAGAAGATGACTAGGATCACTTGGTTGGGGTCCTTGCTGATAGACTGTTGTAATAATAAGTAAGCTTGCCTGAAAGACAGATGGGGCAATATTGACCATAACTGCATCTTCCTTAAAAGCCCAAATGTTTTTAACTGCACTTTCAGTTTGCAAGATTCAAATGGCAAGGATTAAGATGCATCCTGTAAAAATGCAAAACTACATCCTAAGTGGTGTTCCAATGAACTCTGTCAACAAACTGAGATGGACAAGGAGAACAGAGGGTATAACGCCCTACAATCATGTTTACAGACACCTGTGACTCAGTATTTCATATACATCTGAAAAAAATGTAATTCACTAAAGTTTGTCATAATAAAGTTTGTCATAGTAAATACAAGCCATGAAGATGCCACAAGGCTAACATATCTACCTCCTCTGGACATACAAGCTACTTGTAAGAGTCATTTGTGAAACTCTCCCTTAAAACACACACACACACACACAGACAATGGGAGGTGAAACATCTTACTGTTCACTGAGCAAGCTAGTAGCTTTCTGTTCTAATGGTTAAGACAGCTTTAGTAAGGACTAACTGATGTTACCTGCCCTATTTCATTCATCCTTCTATCCCATATAACCTGCCATTATCTCCCACAATTCCAAACCTATTTGCCAATTATTCATCAATTAACATAGCAGGCCACATTCTAGCTAGAATAAACCAACTGAATGGATGGGATTTGCTAAAACAGCATTTATGTAATTTCCATTCACTCAATAAGTCTACTCTAGCTGTGACTAATGATTTGATTTAGCCTAACAGATTTTTACTGCATAAAAATACACATAGGGCAACAATCACAACAGAATTATATTAGCTGTATATGAAAGGAGATACAGCTCTTGGTACACCCCCCTCCTCTGATGTATTATTGTTATATGCCATCAAGTGACTTCCAAGGTATGGTGACCCTATGAATTAGCAATTTCCAGAATGTCCTCATAAACAAAAGCTGGTGGGTTCGTTTTTGGGGGGGTCAGTTCAACTTGCATTTGGTCTTCTTTTCCTGATACTATTTTTTGTCTGTGTCCTATAGCAGTGTCTTGAGGAGGGAAAAAGAAATCTATTCCTGCATGAATTTGCTCAGTCATTGCTGGAAGCTCTACTTTGGATATAAGTAGAGAGCAAAGGGACTTTTAACCTGTGACACCATGACTTTCAAAGCTGCACCAAGGATGCATGTTTTTTTTGCACATGGCAAAGACCAATCCATTTTATAAGCCCTTCTCTTTCTCGTGGGAGGTTGAAGACCTTTTTTAAATGTTCGCCAGCACAATCCCATGCGGGAAATACTTCCAAATAAGTGTGCACTCAATTGAATCCTTCAGGTTGGATTGTTCACTTAACCTAGTAGTCTTCACCATACATTGGAAATTGCTCTCCTCCCCCCGTTATTTAAACAGTTCGGTTTGTTCCACTGTATATTTAATTTAGTGTTAGGCACTCCCAGAACCTCCAGATCATCAAAGAAAAAGAGAAAATACTGTAATGAGAAAACATGCCGTTCCTGTAATATCATTACTTCATTATATTTACTGCAGGTTACAAGGTCCCTACTCCCTAACTTTCTCAATTACGACTAAAAGAGAAGGCACTGAGTCGAGCGATAGAGGCGGGAACGCTCCACTTAAAAGAGCCTCAACCCTTCTCCTCCAGGAGGGCTGACATCCAGGGAAGGAAGGGATGCTGGTCAATGCGACGGCGCTGGCGACTGCGGGCCGAAGAGGGCAACAGACACGGGCAGCGAATGCACTGCTCACACCCACGGCCCCTAACCTCCCCTGTCTAGCCCCTCGCCGCACTGCAGCCAAAAAGCCCCTGGTTACCATGACAAACCCATTACCTTTCTTAGGCCCCTCTCTGTCTCTTTCTGACTCTCGCGGGAGAGTGAATCCTGCCTTGAACAAGCCTAAACCTCGGCTCTGCGAAAGGGCAGTTCGCAATTGGCGAAAAGCTGTGTCACTCTATACAGGAGGCGGGACGAGACGAGAGGAGTCCTCCATTCCAACGCTTCCCAGTCACCTCGCGTCCGGAATGAAGACTACATTTCCCAGCATGCCAAGCAGTAGGGAAAACCTCAGTGGGTCTCTGCGTGCAGTACCTCCAATCAGTAAAGGAGTCGTAATAAAAGAACTGCAATAGATAGTCATACCCAAAGCTTAATACTTTCTTTTTAACAGAAAGTGCTGATGCTTCGTTGCGTGTTATTTTTATAGAATTAAAATGCTGACTCAGGTCATCCAAGCACATGACCACATTTTGGTAACTTCTCCCATTAGGTCAGCCCTTTTCTCCCTTTCCTTTGAATGAAACCCAGGTGGTTCTTCAGGTCGCCGCCTTGCTCCGCAGAACAATAGCATCCGCGCACTCCGGGGCCCATCGCATTGCCTAAGGGGCTTCGTTATAAATGTATCCCTGAAAGCGATGAACTCTGTGGCATTTCCCCTCTTCCCTAATGGCGGATGGGCGCGTCCGTCATCCGAGAGGGGAGGATCTCTCGCGTGGGAGAAGCCTTGGTTGGCTGCCTCGGGAGTTGAGCCTCTCGGTGGGTTGCGCAGTAATCCAGCGGGTGTGTGAGAAGGGAGCCCGGCGGGCGGGCGAGTGGGCTGGCGGGTCGTTTCCCCCCCTCTCCCCCTTCCCGAGACGGAGACGGCTTCGCTTCTGGCAGGCGCAGACGCGGGGAGGGGATGGTGCGTCTGGCCCAGGCAATGGCCTTTACCGCCGCTGCTGCTGCTACTGAGCCGGTTGCTGCTGTCGCTGCGTTGCCGCCTCCACCTCCAACATCGTCCTTGCCGTGGGTGTGAGGAGGACACCCGGGGGACCCGACAGATATGAGGTAGAAGAGCGCTGTGGAGGCGAGCGGGGGCTGGGGACTTAACCGGCGGCGACGGGGGCGGGCAGGGGGGGGAGGAGGAGGGAGAGCGAGTCGAGGGTCACCCTGGCGAGGTAAGCGGACGCGCGCTGAGGAGTCTGAAGGCGTGAGGAGGGGGTCCCCACCCCCTTCCCTAATGCACGCGCACACGCACGCACAAGCACACGCACACACACCCGAAGCTGCCCTTCCTACGCCTTGGCTGGTTCCGGAGCCCCTCATCGGCCGTCACCCTCCCTCCCTCCGCTCTCTATCCTGTTATTCCTCCATTTCAGTCTCCCTCAGCATTACTTCTGCCCGGCCCATGATCTCCCCCTTTTCTCCCCCTCCCTCCAGTCCCAGGGCAGCCCCATCGCTCGTCCCGGAGCTCTCTCTTTTCCCCTCCGCCGGCCCGGCCCGCCCCTCTTTCCTCTCCTCGTCGCCTCAGGCGCCTTCGGTGTAACAGGACAGGGACCCGTGAGCCCCTATGGGGGAGCGGCGAGGATCCCTTTCCTTCTTTTATTTCTTTTAAGCGGCGGCTGGAGCGCGGATTTGTGGCCGGGAAATCCTTGGGCGGGGGCTTAACTTTGATTTCGTCTTCCCAACCGTGGTTGACCCCCCCCCCTCACTCGCGTGGGGCAGGCTGGAATCATTGGAGAGGAGGAGGAGGAGTGTGTGAGGGGAAAGTAGGGGCCTGTCGGCATGTGCGGCTTATGCCCGTCTCCGGCGAGCGATCGCCCTACCCTCCTTCCTCGCCTGAGAAACAGGAGTCGGCGCCTCTGTGGCGTGGCGTTGTGATTCGGCTTGCTCGTGTGTCTGCTTTGACAAACTCGGCGAAGGACTCGCTGACAGGGAGGAGGTGAAGCGGAGCAGGCAGAAGTAACTTGGGCCATCCAAAACAACAACAACAACCCCCCCCCAAAAAAAAACACCTGCCCCGCGGGCAGCCATGGTTTCCCAAGAGGAATTTCTCTGTATTATGCACATTCTGGTGTAAAAGTGTGCGTGGAAGGGGAATGGGTTAGATTTTTTTTGCGGCTGGTATGGCCTTGCAGGTTCTCATAGTTGTCCTTTTCTCAGCCTTTGCAATTCTGGAGTGAAAAAAGAATGCCATCCACTGAAGAGATTGGCATTTAGCCTTGTGAGAAGCAATGCCTTTGTCATGTTATTTCCATTTGCCTTGGGGAGACCACGGTGTACTGATTATATTTACATTTATAAGCTTTAGGTTATGCTGTTTCATTTTGGTTATCTGTGCATAAATATCTTCTTGTCTTCTAGGAAATTCTCTGCTAAGAACATGATTTGTTCCTGATAGTCTGTTAATAATATAATTTATTGTCATTGTAAGTAGATACACAGTATACCCATACAACGAAATTCAGTGATGGTGAACCTTTTTGAGCCCGAGTACCCAAACTGTAACACAAAACCAACTTATTTATTTCAAAGCGCCAACACTAGGCTAATGGACAGAATCTTACCCAACTGCAGGGCACAGACAACAACACTGGAGGGGAAAGGTAGACAAAACATAGTTCTGACTCCCATATGACAAGTGTACTGTAAGGCTTATCTCACATGTGACAACAAAATTGGGAATCCATTGTGTAGAATAGGATGAGAACCTTCTTGCCCTTCAGGCCCTATCCTACGGCACAATTGGTCAAGTTATAATGCAGCAAAGTTGCCCAGCCATTTAAGAGGAGATCTGGACAGAAAGTTGAGTCTCACCCGTAACACCCTGGCTAGATAGAGTACATCCTGTTGCACTAGCCAAAGCCCCCCCCTTTTCTGCCCTCCCCCTTTAAAGAAACAGTCCCGCAGAGGAGAGAGGAAGAGCCCCACTCATGCTCCAGTCAGAGCTCTCGCTACCTTCCCTTATGCTTGCCTCTCGCTTATTCCCAACGCCACTCAAGGAGTGGAAGTTACATCCTCAGCGGACCCGGCTTACTCCAAGGACCATGTGAGAGCTCCCACAGAACTGCACAAGTGGCCTGGTGCCCAGAACAGGTGTTTCTCCTGGAGGTGTTGCTGTGGCATCTCCTTGTTCAAGGAGGTAGCTTCCTTTGCCTGTTCCACTAGACTTATGGCTCATGTGCCCACAGAAAGGGCTCTGCGTGCCAGCTGTGGCATGCGTGCTGTAGGTTCACCATTGCTAGTCTGTTGGAAACAGACCATGTTTATCTTTCTGAAGGCCTTCCACTCCTATTTCCATTTGGAGCAAGTGTTCCAAGGTCAATAATGAAGTATTCCTTGAAGTATGACATGGTAAACTCTTCTTTGCCATTTATTGAAGATGAATGTGCCTCATTTGTAACTTTATAAATGAGGGTGGATCCAAGGAGAAGCATACATTTTTAGCTCTCTTAAGCAGCTCATATCTAAATTGAAGGAAGAAAAGTTAGTAGCTTGAGTGTTGGCATTTTGATCAAGAATCTGGGATTTGCAGTGCTTCCAAAATTGCATACTAGGGCGGATAAAATTCATTGATTTTTAAAAATCAAATTAATTTAAATCACTGTTAAATTAAAAAAATGATTTTTAAAAACATAAATAATTTAAAAAATCAATGCTTAAAATTTAAATCAAATCCACCCTGTTGCAAACGAACTACAGTCACAAACCCAAAGCCATAATACAATTAAAACTCACACTGTACTTTAAAATAATATAGAATATCTTTATTACTGTTGTTGTTGTTGTTGTTAGCTGTGCTTTAGATGTGCTGTCATGTTCCCTAATTGCCATCATGCAACTGGGAAACATTACATTTTTAGCAACTACCATACATCCTGGCCATTGACCTTTATGTTCTTTGTCATCCTTGTCACAATTTTCAAAGTGGCTCTCAAAAATGAAAACTTCAATGAGTTAGTATTATTCACTGCCCAAAATCTTACTGTGGATTTAGAGGGGAGAGGGGCTGCGTGACTGCATTGTGCTGCCCCCGTCAATAGGTGGACCCCCTCCCAGCCCCATAAAGCCACCAGAGTCGAAGTTGCCAGCCTCTGCTGTCTGAGATCACAGCTGCCGGTAAGCGTGCTTGGAAAGGGGCTACGGAGGATGGCTAGGGCTGCCCCCCCATGCGGCCCAAACCAAATTTTCATCTTCTAATGTGGCCCAGGGAAGGTGAAAGGTTGGACACCCCTGGTATAAACCATGCCAATGAACTGCCTCTGCTGAACACATTCTTAAAGAATTACTAGTTGCAGGATTGTGTATGTATTAGCAACTCATTAATTAGCAGCAGTTCACTATTGCACTTACACTGATGTAAATCTGAAACAGGATTCTGGCCTCTGTTATATAAGAATTATGAAGAAATTAGGATTAGAAAATTGCAAATGAGCTATCTCGTAATTTAGATTCTTAAGAAGAAGTAATAATATTTTTGCTTTGAAAACCAAACATCTGTCAGCTCTTAGTGCTACAGAAAATTACAGATAGTTCCAAACTTGTCATTCAAAAAAGTATGAAAACAATTACTTTGCATGGATCCTAGGAGTTATCTGAACCCAAGGGAATTCAGTTTTTGTATGGTTAGCAAGTAAAATTAGAATTTTGGTTACATTTACATGTATTGTATTTTTTGGGGGGGAAGAGAAGTGCTGTGCCCTCCCTGGGACCAACCTACTGAAAACTATATGATGATGATGATGATGATGATGATGATGATGATGATGATGATGATGATGTATCATTTGTAAGATGCCTTTCTCCTCATGGGGCTCAAGGCAGCTCACAATGTCAAAAAAGGGTCACACTAAAAATACCCTAAAGTACAAGGTTAAAAGCAATTAAACATATAATAATAATTTAAAATCCAGTAATTAATTAGACAATAATAATTAAAAAGCATTTGAAAACACTTAGGAAAAAAAGCCAGCAATCAAGGACTCAAAGTTATTTCTGCCTCTTGGCTCCATGGTTCACTGAAAAACAGCATGGAATATTGATATTCTTTTGTCCCAACACATCACATTAATGAGACGGAGTATTATAATGGGGCGGGTGGGAAGGGTTATTGGGTCCATGTTGGTCTCATCCATTTCATATTTGTCAAGAAGTCAGTGTGTCTGCAGTATTGTTCACAACTCTTGGTGAAAATATTCTGGAATGCCTATCTTCTATTTCTGGTTTTCAGTAAATTATTTTACAGAATACGAATCTGGGATAGTCGTATTTCATCTTGGAGTTTGAGAGTTAAGAGTTAGTTTTCTGTCTTTCTTATAGAATACTTGAAAAAGCTGAATTAAATATGCAAAATATTAGTTCAAGAATAAATCAGATATTGAGAGAACGTTAGGAAAGCCTATCTGTAAAATCAAAGGAGATGTTTTAACTTTCATTCTAAATCACTTAATTAGTGAAATAAAATAAAATTGACAGAACAGAACATAAATTATAGCACATGTATGCACATACCCTGTTTCCCCGAAAATAAGACAGGGTCTTATATTAATTTTTGCTCCAAAAAACACATTAGGGTTTATTTTCAGGGGGTGTTTTATTTTTTTTCCATGTACAACAATCTACATTTATTCAAACAGTCGTGTCATCTTCTGGTTGCTGCACAATGGTGGAGGGCGGGGTTTCACTTAAATGGGACTTATTTTGGGGGTAGGGCTTATATTACAGGCATCCTGAAAAATCATACAGTACTAGGGCTTATTTTCAGGTTAGGTCTTATTTTAGGGGAAACAGGGTATTTGCTAGGTTTATATATGGCATTTAAAAGGAAGGAGGGACATTGCTAGATAAATTTCTCTGTGGAGAATATTCTACAGGCAGGGCTCTGTGACTATTAGGAACCTATATCTGGACTCTTATCTCCCCATTTCTTTTGGGTTTGGGACTTCAGAATAGTCTCTGCTGTTATATCAGGTTTACTACAAGAGGAAGTGATCCTTTAAAATTATAAGCTGTTTAGGATTTCACAGATTAAAGCCACTTTTGAAATGATCTGAGAGCCATCCTGTCTA